GCGCCATACTCGGTCTTCTTCGTCCAAATCGCGTCAAATTACGTGGGGTTATGGCTCGCCCGCGTTCTGCCCGATCGTCAGATCCGCATCCCGCTTACGAAATGGTCCTTTAATATGAACCCGGGCCCATGGTCCGTCAAGGAGCATGTTCTAGTCACGGTTACCGCGGCCTCGGGCGCGACCGGTAACCTGGCCACGACGCCAATTGCCGTCGGCGAGCTCTATTTCAATGAGCGCCTTCACCCGGCCGCAGCTATCTTCTTCATGTGGTCCATCGATGCGACGGGGTATGCGTTCGCCGCTATAGCACGACAGTTGCTCTTATATGAGCCTGCTTATCAATGGTGGCAGGCTCTGTGCCAGACTGCGTTGTTTGAGACTCAAGCCAAGCAGAACAAGAACCCGTCGCCCGCGGCGCGCAAGCAGTTCAAGGTGTTTTGGTTGGTATTGCTTGGCGTCACGCTTTGGCAATTCCTACCCGAATTCGTCTTCCCTTTTCTTAGCTCCCTGGCCTTCTTATGCTGGGTTGCACCGCACAATCCCGTTGCCAACTTCATTGGATCAGGCCTCGGTGGTATGGGATTGCTGAACCTGAGCTTCGATTGGGCTAATATATCGAATTATAACGCCGGTGTGCCCCTCTTCCTAAGTCCGTGGTGGTCTCAGGTCGTGTTATTCGCATCCTTCGTCCTGAGCGCTTGGATTCTACTCCCAGCAGCAAAATGGGGTGGCCTCGGAGGCTATAGCCATTGCTTGATGACGAACCGGGCTTGCACCGCCGACGGCGATATATATCCGGTTTCTGCGCTTGTAACGTCTTCGAATACCTTCAATCAAACGGCGTACGACGAATATGGCCCAATGTACCTTGGTGTCCACAACCTCTGGACAATCTTCTTCGACTACGCCTCGTATATCTCTGCGTACAGCTGGATCGCGTTCTTCGGCGCTTCAAACATTCGGAAGGCGTACAGAAAGTTTCGAGCTCGAAGGAGTAGCCCCGGTCGCGGCATCAATCATCAGTACACTGATCGGCTCAACGTACTCATGCGATCGTACAAGGAGGTCCCCTTTTGGTGGTACTTCGCTCTCTTCTCGGCGTCGTTCGTATCTATCATTACCATTGTTGCTTTGGATATGATATTCATACCTTGGTGGACCTACTTTGTAGCGTTAGCGACAGGAGCCGTAGTTGTTATCCCTCTAGGTTGGCTTTATGCCGTCAGCAATTTCCAGCTACCAATCGGAACTTTCAACGAGCTACTCTACGGTACTATGGTACAGAACTTGAGTCATCATAGGAACCCCATCGGCGCAAGTGTAAGTGGTAAAAATAGAACCAGCCTTATCTTCTCAGATGCAACTAACTCTTTGTAGGTATACGGATCTATCGCCGGAGACGCTTGGTATAGAGCACAGTATATGCTTCAGGATCAGAAAATTGGGCATTATATGCACGTTCCTCAACGCGCTATTTTCTTTTCGCAAGTCTTCGGTATCACACTTGGCGTACCAATCAATTATGCTGCCATGCGATGGGTGCTGAATACCAAGCGTGATTACCTAACCGGTGAGCTCGAGGATCCCGCTCATATCTGGACCGGTCAGTCCTTGGCTGGTTATTTGACACTCGGCGTACAATATGTCTTGATTGTGAGTAGACACCGTCTTAGTAATTTAAACCAAGATCGGACACTAATCTGCTCTCTTTGGCAAGGGTCCCACGAAACTCTTCCAACAACAGCAATGGAAGCCAATCCCATATGCTTTCCTCTTTGGTGCAGGGGCGCCGGCCGTGATATGCCTACTTCACCACTTATTCCCTCGAGCCAAGTTCAATCTATGGAACACGACGATCTTCTGTAGTGGTGCCTCGATATTCTACGGTAACATCTCTACTGGCTACTTCTCTCGCTTCATCGGTGGCTTCGTCGTCATGTACTGGGCATATAGGTACCGGTACCAGCTGTGGGCAAGGTATAACTTTATTCTAGCCGCGGCGTTTGATGCTGGCTTTAACTTGAACTTATTACTCATTTTCCTATTCTTTGGGAGTGGTAAGGTCATCACGATGCCTCATTGGTGGGGGAATGACGCCCAAAGTGTTGAGAAATGTTATGCCCTAGATTAGGCGGTTCTATCGTCTACGAAGCCCTCCAAATCAAATCATGGCCAACTCCTCACTTTAAGACAGTTATCTAGCCAATGGAATATACGACATGCTCACAGAAGTTGCCTTGGCTATGGGGTACACCATAGGATCACTATGCTACTCGATTTAGCTGAGCAAGACCAAATAAACAAATACGTTTTGCTTTTATTAGAATCTAGCCTCCATTTTACTCTTCTGGTATTTCTCTGAAATAATGAGATCTAAATAAACCGCGCTGCTCCTCTTCTGAAACAGGCTCTTCACCCCTAGCCCTGTCCCACATATCCTCGGAATCAAGTATTATATTCAGCTCCTCATAGAACTCTTCGTCAAGAAAGTTGAAACAACAATCCGACAACCCTAAAGCAATGGCCTCATGGTATGCCGGGTAAAAGCCCGCTAGCTCGTAGTCGATGATGACTGGTGTATCATCATACCGAACGATAATGTTTGCGTCGTGGAGATCACCGTGTGAAAAAACGGGATGGCTGTGTCCTAGTGCTGTAGCAACACCCTTCAATCTTGCAGCGCAAAATCTCTTGATCTCGTCATAGGGCTTTCCTTCTCCAGAGCTAAACTTCATGTCAAAATAGTTCTTGGTGAAATCCGCAACATTGTCGAAAGGACCGAATTCCTGGTTCCAATAGAAGTCAGTTAATGGCCGGCGGCCTAAAGCGCCATAGTAACCTGGGGCTGGGATGCGTCGCAACTCGTTGACTTGAGCCTCCAATTTCTCTTTGATGTCTTTTATTCTGATCGCTGACATTGATGGTAGGCAGTCTGCGAGAGTTTTCCCTGCAACGAATTCCATAATGATCATGGTTTCGTCCTCGCCAAAAGTATACATGGCGTAAAGCTTTGGAACAGGAATCGTAGTATTCCGGCTGATGAAAAGCATATTCTCACCTTCAATACTTTTCACATCCTTCCCGTATTTCGCAATGAAGTGTTGACCCACGCGAGCCACGGTTTTGCCTATTATAGCTGTAGGATATAAGAGAATGTCCGTAGACGCGAGCACTTCTTCGTGCGTTGGCAGCGGTGCAGGAAGTGCGCCGGCAGGGGCGAAGTAGGGGAGAGTAATTGGTGTATACGAATCCATCGTGACAGGGAGTGCTCTGTTCTTGTCGTTCTATTGATTGAAGTAGATCCGTGGTTGAACACATATTTTTGAGAGGAGACCACATAGGAGACGGTATTTATACTATTTTCTATCTTGAAAACTACCTCGTTTAATTACAATAAAGCTGTTCTTTCTACACAAAAAGATGGTACAATGAGTCGCTTTGTTGCCTAGCTACAGTACAATTGTGCGACATTGTTTAACGACTGAGAAAGTTTTCTAGTTCCGATTGCTTTGCCTCTACTTCAATTCCTTGTCTAGAAATACAAATTGTATTATGAGTGGACTTGAACGTTTTTGACTCCTCAAGATCGTTGAAACTATAGAAAACTAAGACAACATTGCGTTATTGATCAAGAGCCACGTTAGCGGTCACCAAAGAATAAAGGGATGTCTATTGACGGTGTGGTAGATGGCGTGTATACTTAGGTGGAATGCCCGTGTTGATGTTGAGTATGCCGATTTCTGATTCCTCCATCCGCCACATGCATGTGACCCAGCGCTCCCCCCAGGCAAAGCATTACCTTGACTGCCTGACAGATAACTGGAACAGTTAAAGCAAAACAATACATCGGAATTAATTGAAAGATAAAACAACGATACCTTGTTTTACCTGTGTTTGTAGTTATTTATAAATAATTTCCTATTTTTTTGGTTATTTTTTTGGTAAAAAAGTGTAATTTTCTTTTCCTAGGTGTGCTGATGTGACCTGCTATCTCCTCTAATTAGAAGCTTCTTTCAAGCCCCACTTTATCACTCAGCTAAAAGTTTCGTTGCTTTATCTTAAAGTGAACTTTTTTAATAAATACTTTATTCCGTGGTTCTTTGACTGTTCCCCCCCCCCCCCCTTTTTTTTTCTCTCTTTGATTTAGAGCGTTTATATTCCCCCCAACAGCGACAATGCCGCACGCCAGCTCAAACGTACGACGTTGTCGCGTGTATGCGCATTTTGTAATTACGGCGGTCTTATGGTGTCGGGACCCCTCGGTATGCGGTAGGTGGATACTTTTGTTGCGCGAGGCTTCTAAAACCTCTCTGAATGCTGCTCTACCTATATACAGGGATGCCTCCTTTGTTCACTGTGTTAGGACCCTTCAGTATACGGTAGGTGAAGATTCGTGTTGTTGCGCGAGGCTTCTAAAACCTCTTCTAAATGCTACACTACCTATCTATAGGAATACCTTTTGTTCACGTGTAGCTACAAGGATTGTGGCACACTGCTTTTTACACTTTACGATTACTTCTTTGGTGTTGTGGTGGCTCCTAGTGTAGCTATACGCATTGTGGCACAAAGCATTTCTATTGGCGCCTCCAGGTAAATAAGCTTAACGATGCTAGAATTAGCATTCTTATTCTGGCGCTAAGCCTAGCTACTAAACTAACGGGCGGACCTCTAGATGCTATTAGAATTAACGTTTCCGTAGGAGATAAAAATATAGCGGTTAAGCTAGTAAGGATAGAAGATATAGTTGTAGCAGTTATGCTAGTCAATATAGATAATGTTGTAACTGTTGCCTATGTGGTTGTGCTAGCGAGTGTTATGGTTGCTTGAGCATGAACGGGGTCGAGATGCTGGTTGTTTTTGGTGGTTGTGAGGACGCATTTTCGCATCCCTTAGAGGATTGCATCGATCAATCAAATAGCAACCACAAAAATGATTTATTGCGTCTAGACTAATAGTTATCAGGTACTAATGTTAATAAAGATTTTGAGAAAAAAGAAGACTGGAAGCTCCCAGATTCGAACTGGGGCCTTCGCCGTACCCTCGACATAGTATAACGGCTTAAGCGACGTGCACCACTACACCAAGCTCCCGCTAAGTTATTATGGATACTGACACTTATGCAATATTCTTGTGTTGGTAGTCAAACAAGTGCAGGCTGTTGTGGCCGGTACGCTAGCCTTTATGGGCGCTCTATATATATTTTATACTGCCTAAGTATAGAATACCTAGCATGCATACATACTTATAGAGTAGATAGAGGCTTTTATAGAGCTATAGGGGAGGCGTTATCGCTTTATTAGCGATCGTTTTACCTGGGGATTCCTGCCTTGTTATTGGTTTGCGGACCGGCCTACTATGGCTTATGCTCCTTTAATATACGTACCTATTAACCTACATAAGTGTGCCCTAAAGCGTAATGTAAATAAAACAAAGTAGCCAAAAAAAACTCACACCTTCGTGCTTTCATTTAAAAGAGAGAAAATCGGAATACTATTTTGGATAATTTAGGCTAGGTACGTAAAAGATAGGGAAACTCTTAAAGGGCTGATACAGTGCAAAGTATTGACATCCACGTGGCTTAATCTCTCACTGTTCCAGATCTTCCAGGTTGTCTAAAGAGTGCACGCCAATCACTTGGTGAGAATAACCCCCCCATCCTTGGTACCCACACTCGAGGCGAGGACCACCGGCAGTAGAGATGGCATCTTCCACACAACCTCCTTTGAACCATGTTGGAAGCATGAAAATCACTTGGCTATCGGAATCAAAGTCTGACCAAGTCCAGTCGGTAACAACGCCGCAGCCTTTCACCTGCTCTCGTAGCGCTGCCCCGTCAACTCCGGCCCAGCCGTTGATATGTGTGATTTTAAAGGTTAGAGCCACGATAGAAAACTTAAAGTAACAACTAGCCGTAGGAGGAGGGGGTGATGGAGGCGTGGGAGGCGGCCTCGGAATTGTCGTCGAAGGAGGTGGTGGAGGTGGTTGTGAGGGCGGCGCTGGGGCTGCCGATGAAGAAGGCAGCGGTATCAAGGGTGCCAACATCGTGGACGCGGACATCCTGGAATCTATAGATGTCAGCTGGCAAGTACACCTGCCATAGGCATGCTCTCCAAGACCATATGTCCCACACCGATCAGCCTGGCCAAGGGCACATGCGCCCGTACATTGTGCGTCCTCGCTGCAAAAAGAAATCGTCGGTAATGGACTGCTAGGTGAGGCGCAACTACATGTTCCATAAGCATGTTCTCCGAGACCGTATATCTCGCACCGGTCTACTAGAGGTTTCATAGCAATACCACCCTCACCTACTGTCCGCGCTCCTTATGCTAACCTAATCGTTGCTCGCCTCGTCATCGACATTATCGTTGCCATCACCATCACTATCGCTGCTATTATCACTGTCACCATAGCCACTATCACTGTTGCTGTTTTCGGACCAGTGAGAATCTGAAGAGCTATCAGTAGTTGAGGTGTGACTAGAATTGTCGGAATCTGGCATTATTGCTTCAAAATCGTGAGGCGTACTGAATTCGTGTGCAAGGTCGCGATGATGCCAGCATTTAGAACAAATTTTATAGCTGTGACAGACCTCACATTTATAGTAAGTATCGTGAATTTCCTTCATTTTATTAGCTCAACTCTTACCATTAATCGTCTAGACTTACCCAAAAACATGCCTCGCACAAGGCATTCTCAACTAGTTCGCCCGCCTGTTGACTTAATTCGCCCGTGGTGTCTGTAGCTTCATTTGTATTTGGCTCGGTTTCCGGTCTTAATAGGGCGGTGACTTCTTCTGGTGCTCCTGCGTGGCGAAAAATCCGGAGAGGTGTCCAAGTTTCATCCCCAATTTTGCACTCGACGAACCGATCAGCACCTCGCTCGAGCAAGTCCTTAACTACTCCGACCATATCTGTTGGCTCACTCGCACGATAATCCATAACCTGTCTGGTTGATCCCCTGGCCACCCAACACAATGGAGTCCAGCCGTCGATGTCGCGCACGTTTACATCGAGCTTCGGTGAGACTTCGAAGATTCGTTTGATAACCTGGAGGCGGCCCCCTTGCGCGGCATAATGAAGTACAGAGCGTCCAAGGATGTCAGTATCCGTAAGTTTTGCACCCCCCTCCTCGATAATACGAAAATTTAGCTCGCCATTCATTGCCGCAAAGTGGATGGGCCTTCTCTTGAGAACATCTTCCACGTCGTGCAGTGCTCCTTTGTTCAGCAGAGAACGTACAATGCCAGGGCGAGACAACCAAGCGGCTGCGGCTAAAGGACTGCCCAAGTAGCGACTATTGATATTGATGTCAGCACCATGATCTAGGAGGTGCTGGGTCAGTTTGTCAGGGTCCTCCTGATTTTCAGAAAGCGAGGCTAAAACTACCATCAAAGGTGATCCATAACCAGAGACAGAGTTATAGTTCAAATCTGCTCCGTAGTCGATTAACATCTTCGCCATAGCATAATCACAGCCCAGACAAGCTAGAAATAAAGGGGTTTCCGCAAAACCAAGATCGCTACCAACGATATTAGGATCCGCGCCATGCTCGAGGAGATACGAGACAACCTCATGCTGCTCATGCCATACAGCTTGACTTAATGCGGTGTAGCCAGACTTGTCTTTGTGGTTAAGGCTGGCACCGGCTCTGACGAGTCGCTGAACCGCTTTTAGATGACCAATCTCGGCGCAATGATGGAGGACTGTTTCACCATCTTTATTAGTCTGGTTAATGTCGATCCGTGCCTGGAACTCCATCAAGGCGTTCAGGCAATCGATTCCTACTCCCTCCGGGGTGGAAGATTTGAATATCAAATGGAGAGGACTGGCTCCATTCGCATTTTGCTTCTTCAAATCTGCTCCTGCCTCCGCCAAGATCGTGATTATACCTGCAAAATTATGGTATGCGGCAAACATAACCGCGGTCCAACCAGACCGCTGGTTTCTCCTGGTGACTACTGCATTGACGTTGGCTTTATGTTCAAGTAAGATCTTGACAGATTCTGTCCATCCTCTTAAAGCAGCTAACACTGTCGAACGACTGATTAGCAATTGTAGTGCGTAAATTATATCTTCAAATCCTGGTAGCATGAAGGAGAAAATATCGAGGAAAAGTTGTGTGCATCAATCCCGTCGCAAAATAAGTAGAAAATTTTGGGGAACGTACTTAGTTGTGTGGCCCCTCCTGCCATTGGGAGATCGATATCTCTAGTATGCTCAACCAACAGCCGTGTAAGTTCTGGTGAATCTTGGCACATATGTAGGGGAATATGTCCCATGGATGTCGCCATGTTTGCATCTGCACCTCTTTCTAGAAGAATCTTCACTAGGGGTGTGAATTGAGCCTTGGTCGCCTCAAATAACGCTGTTCTGCCATCCCTGTCGGCTATGTTGATATCTGGGTTAAAGCCGAGAAGGAATCTGGCAAGTCTGAATTGGCCACTGGCGCAAGCCAGGGTTAACGGAGACGCTCCAGTCACATGACCCGTTGCATTTATATTTATATTATAATCGAGAAGCACCTTGGCAAAAGATATTTTACTCGCCTCTGACTGCACTTTTGGGAAACTGACCCAGAGGATGAGAAGGGACGATCGAAACAAGGGGCTGGAGGGATTTGCACCTCTGCCAAGCAACTGGCGACACGTTTCAGTGTGACCGCCGGTGAGTGCGTACAGTAATGCTGTCCCGTCTCCTTCAGAGGTCGACGTTTCTATGTCAACACCATGATCCAAGAGGATCTGTACGACTTGCCAATGCCCAAAGTAAGCTGCTATAATGATTGGTGGCCATCCTGAATCGTCTGTTTGATCGATGTCTGCTCCTAGTTCAAGCAGCTTCTCCGCCACGCGAGGCTTTCCCCATAAACATGCCAAGCAGAGTGGAATTAGCCCACCAAGGCTTTTGGTAACCGACGTAATGCCCACTCCGCCTTGCTCTACAAGACACTGAACAATATCAGCATTCCCCTTTTCTATAGCTCGAAGCAATGGAGTTCGTTGACCATTAGTCGTGAATTCAACATCGGCTCCATATCTCAATAAAATCTTGACGGTTGAAACGTGTCCAGCTGAAGTAGCAAAACACAGAGGAGTAAACAGAACACCATTAAAGTACTGAAGTTTTGAGTCGACCGGAGTACCAATTTCAAGTAGTCTCTCGGCCAGGCGGTCGAGACCAAGCCTTGCAGCCCGGAAAAGGGACATTTTCCCACGCTGAGACAGCTCATCCCTATCCTCAATAGAAAGCCTATCGATGAGTCTTATAGCCAGAGATTCGTTTCCGCCTGAGGTTGCTGCAATTATGAGGGTAACAAGATGGAATCGAGGCACTCGGCATTGCCCTTCCATTTCAAGGAGACTATTCACAAGATGGACGTTGCCAGCCCGGGCTGCTTCTTCTGTTTCCAATGTCAAGTCTGTATTGTATACTGGTTTAAGAATATCGGGATAACCAAGGCTAATGAGGGCTACGAGTGGCGATTTCCAGCGCTTCCTACTTCGACTGAACGGGTTTGAAAGTAACCACTAATATTGATGAGTTAGCGAATATAAAACTAATATGTTCTTCAATAGTGCTTATTACTTACCGCTGTCCGCGACCAGCGCTCAAGATCAACCTCGGCCATCTTTCGGTATAGGGATTTCATTGCCTCTTTCTCAGTACTAGATTTGGCCAACGAGAAGTGGTAAGGCCAGTATTGGACGGCATAACTAATGAATCCTAGATCGGCATCTGTGATGAATGATTGCTTGGACAACAGATCCTGTTCCTCTTGAACGCTGGTCCGTGCGAGGTAGTCTAAGCAGATATAAGCTATATCATAATGAGCAGTGCTTGCAACTTCGTGCCAAAGATAGTGCTGAGCGCCTGTAGATGGGCTTCGTAGCATATCTTCTAAGCGTGGATGTGCGAGGCAAACCCCAATATGCCTATTCACAGTAATACCAGAAAACCATGCAGTTCTCTGTCTTTCAAGTCGCTCAAAGAGACCCCAAGTTGATGAAATGGGCTCTCCATTATCAATTGTACTTCCTAAGAAGAATAATGTTGCAAACTCTTTTGATGATAATGGTCGTGTCGCAAATACG